TCTGGTTCAGAGCTAATGTGATCCTTGGAAACAGAAGCAGGAATATCAAATAATAGAGAGGTGATAGTATCTATGTATAAGGCACTAGTGAGACAATATTGTGTCCACTTCTGGTATTCACATTTCAAAAGGGGTTAAAAAAAGAGCTACAAGAATGATTCAGGGTTTGGAAAATCTGCTTATAGTGAGAGGCTAAAAGAGCTCTATTTAATTTACCCAAGAGAAGATTAATAGCTGATTTGATCACCGTCTATAAATACTTACATGTGGAGATGATTTCTGATATTAAAGGGTTCTTTAATCTATCAGACATACATACAACAAGATGCAATGTTTGGAAACTGAAGTTAGACAAATTCAGACTAGAAATAAGGCACATTTTTTAATAGTGTGGGTAATTAACTAGTTAAACAACTTAGCTAATGATATGATGAATACTCTCACTTGAAGTCTTTAAATCAATTAATGTCTTTCTAAAAAATATGCTGTAGCTCAGGGGTGGGCAAACTTTTTGGCTTGAGGGCCATATCTGGGAATAGAAAATGTATGGCAGGCCATAAATGCTCAGAAAATTGGGGTTGGGGTGCGGGAGGAGGTGTGGGCTCTGGTTTGGGATGCGGGCTCCGGGATGGGGCCAGAAATGAGGACTTCAGAGTGTGGGAGGGGGCTCTGAGCTGGGGCAGGGGAATGGGGTGCGGGAGGGGGGTGCGGGCTCCGGCTGGGGGTGCGGGCTCTGGGGTGGGGCTGGAGATGAAGAGTTTGGGGTGTAGGAGGGTGCTCTGGGCTGGGATTGAGGGGTTCAGAGGGCGGGAGGGGGATCAGGGCTGGGGAAAGGGGTTGGGGTGCGGGAGGGGGAGTGCAGGCTCCGGCTGGGGGTGCGGGCTCTGGGGTGGGGTTGAGGTTGAGAGGTTTGGGGTGTAGGAGGGTGCTCCGGGCTGGGATCAAGGGGTTCAGAAGGCGGGAGGGGGATCAGGGATGGGGCAGGAGGTTGGGGCATGGGGAGAGACTCAGGGGTGCAGGCTCCGGGCGGCGCTTACCTCAAGCGGCTCCCGGAAACAGCAGCATTTCCCTTCTCTGGCTCCTATGAGGAGGCGCAGCCAGATGGCTCTGTACACTGCCCCGTCCACAGGAACCCACTGGAGTTCACCCTAACCCATTAGAGTGCCGGAGGGGTGCCATGCTGCAGTTTCCGGGAGCCGTGTGGAGCGGCCCTGGACCCTGCACCCCAGCTGGAGCACCAGAGGGGGACCATGCTATGGCTTCGGGGAGCCACATGGAGTGGCCCCCGACCCTGCTCCCTGGCTGGAGCGCCAGAGGGGGGCCATGCCGCGGCTTCCCAGAGCCGCGTGGAGCAGCCACCAACCTTGGTTCTTTGGCTGGAGCGCCAGAGTGGGGCAAGCTCCAGACCCCGCTCCCCAGCGGTAGCTCGAGGGCTGGCTTAAAACGGCTGGCGGGCTAGATCCGGCCCAAGGGCCATAGTTTGCCCACCCCTGCTGTAGCTCAACCAGAAGTTATGGGCTTGAAGTAAGAATTACTGGGTGAAATTCTATTATTTGTGTTATGCAGCTTAGACTGGATTATCATAATGGTCCTTTCTGTCTTTAAAATCTATGAATTTTTAACAACTGGTGATGATGCTTGAAATGAATCTCAGTTAAATGAGTTGCTACTTTCAGTCCAGGTGCTATGAAAGGAGTATTCTCGTGATAAGACTACCGTCACAACTTCACACTCAAGGCCCAGTGTCTGTCTTAGCGACGTTCACAGCCCTAGGGTAGCCAGGTCACTGGCTGCCACCAATATTATAACACTGTGTCATGCAGCACAGCTCTGAGCCCATCTAACAGATGCAATACTTCAGTACTTAAAACAGTGCTGGAAGCCAGCAAACTGTGTACACTAGGGCTCCCAATGTTGCTAACACTGACACAGCTGAACCAGTTTTAGCAGTAGTGGGAATTTTTTAAGAATCTCCCTAGTGAAGTCAGACCCCTATTGGCAGCCTTAGCAAAGAGGTCAAGGAATATATGTGTATGTGCAGTGAATTGACCTCTCACCCACAAAATAGGACTGAAGAATTGTGGCAAGGCACTGCCAGTATCACAACTTGAATTTACTACAAATACATCTTCTCATAACAGACAAATCCTCTGTCTGGGACATGATTGTTCAATTACCATGCCCATAGCAAAGAAGCATCCATTTATAGAATTCTTAGTGCCCCACATATTCCTCTCATATGAGCCTGGGAACTACATCATAGCCGAATATCAGGAACTTCCAAGACTTGTAAGAACCCTAATCAATTAGAAAAATATTAAATTACGTACATGGATCAGAATAAACAAGGTCAGAGGATTCTTCTGTTATAAGAAGACATTTATAGTAAGATCAAATTGGCTATTCTCACACAGAGGGAATCCTCTGGTCTGGGAATTGATAGTTGGGGAGTACAGTGAGCAGTCCAACCATGAAGAACAGTGGGAGTAAAGAGCAGCATGAAATAAAAGAACAGTGAGGAATGGCAATCTTGAGGACCTATTGATCAAATGCAGCATTTGAAGAAGAAGCCATATCCACTTTGTAGTGTTTGGTGAAAGAACATAGATGTTGCCAAGTAGCTGCACTCCAGATCTCCTCAAAAGATAGTCTATTTGTTTTCCCCCAAGTGGTGCATACAGATCACGTTGAGTGCACTCTGAGACTTGAAGCAGGGCTGGCTCCAGCATTTCTGCCACCCCAAGCAAAATAAATAAATAAATAAATAAAGCTACGATCACGATCGGCGGCGGCAATTGGGAAAAAAAAAAAAGAAAAAAAAAGCCGCGATCGGCGGTGGCAGTTCAGCGGCAGGTCCTTCGCTCCTAGAGGGAGCGAGGGACCTGCCGCCCCCGAATTGCCACAGGTGCCGCCCCTCTCCCTTGGCGCCGGCCCTGACTTGAAGGAGAAGATTTTCCAACCTTCTTGTAAGTTGCTAGAATGACCCATCTGGAGATGATCATATTTCACACTTTGAAGCACTTGCTTTTCCAGTTGTAGGAAACAAAGTATATGATCACCTAAAGGCATTCCTGGCACCTCTCAGTTACAGAAAATGGATGTTTCTCCTGGATTCTGTTGGAGACTACTTGCCTTGGCAGAAGTTTGACAGACATATGAGCTTCCCTTATTCCTGAGAAATGAAGTGGAGGTGATCTTTATCACAGCTGCATCCAACAAAGGTTTTCCTTAAATTAGTTTTTGCCACCACCTCAGGGACCTCTGGACCGGGATGAGGTGCAGAGATTAGTGATTAAAGTCCCTATTATGATCCCACTTGAAGAGGATCAGGACTTGTAATGGTCTCATATGTAGAAAGGCCCACTGGACTATAGCTGCACTGGATACTACCAGGCGCCTAACAGGTGGAGTGCTTCCCAAGTGGCAGTCTGTGGATTAGAGAGATTAGGTTTTTCATTCTGAGAGCCTGATCTAAAGGGAGCAGAAGCAGCGGTCTCAATTCCCATGTATATGTAGGAGAAGCCTGGAGGGCACCAAGAAGCCTACCAATGGCTGCTTTTGTAGCAATAGTGAACATGGTAACCCTCCAGTCAGTTATTAAATTGGATGATTCTCTGTTTGTGAACAATTAGATTATCACCTCCAGAACTACCAAGCAAATGTCTTTCACAAGAACTACATTCCCTTATAAATAACACAATTGAAAATACCTAAACCTATTGTTACTCTAGTCTCAGGGTCAACTTATGGTAATAATACCATGACTTAGAACTCATAGAGTGCTTAATATTGTCAAAGTGTTGTACAAACAACAGGACAAACAGGACAAATACTTAGCTCCAAACAAAGCTCCATTGACTTCAATGGAACAATGTGAGTGTACACCATCTTAGAATTGTTAAATCCCCTCATACTCTATGAGACAGATAAATTAATATATAGGTGACATTATGCATGATCACAAACTGTTACGCTTTTTTTAGCATGGTAGAGATGACAAGCAACCAGAAATGTATATGTGCAGCTTGTGTGAATGCTACAAGTTCTATTATTTCTACATTATTAACATACTGCTATTACTTTGTTTTATAAGGGATCACACATGTTGACAGTTACAGTATGTACCAAAAAACAACTGATTGAGAATGGACAAGCACAAGATTTAGTGATCATTTGTAGCTGAGAAAAATCATAAATGTACAAGATAGACAGACAGAAAAAATGACCAGGTTGTATTGCATTTAGAAATCTTAGTGAGACTTGGTGGGGTTGTAAAATTATTGATCATAATAGCACAGGTCATAGACACTCTGTATGAAAGCAACTGCAAAAGGGAACAAACTATTCCACAAAGGAGCCAAATGGAATGGAGCTAAAAGCAGAAGTTCTGAACTTGAACACACAACACAACAGAGTGTTAAATGGCCTTTCAGGTAGGACAGAGATTTTGCACATACTGGTTCTGCTAGAAACCACTTTGTTTGTACAAGGAATAAACAAAGGTAATACTGCAAGGGATAAATCCACTGGTTCCTACTCAAGATCAGGCTGCTGATAAAAGTAGATCAACCCAGCAGGTTTGGACTACTAATGATCTACTGGCTAGAAATGCCAGTATAAGCAGGCATCAGTAAGTAACCCATGTTTCCCTGTAAAGGTGATCAGATGAATGGATGCTGTCAATCTTCTTCGGAGAGCCCTTCCTTTGTGTAAATGTCATCATTGTATCTCAGAATTCTGAGTTCAGTCAGTAGTATATCATTAATGTAGGGAAATGTCTACAAATAAGCATGGGGAAAGTATAAATCTATGCTGCATAATAGTCTGGGGTATACTGCTAAACCTCAGAGTCTGAGATATAGGGAGAAGATACTTGGGCTCTATGGCATTCTCAATACTCACCAACCAAAACTACAAGAGTCCAACTTTTCTGAACAAAAATTGAAATCTTAATATTTTTATTGCTTAATACTTTAAGATAAAAAGTGATCTAAACTTACCCTCTCCATCATAACACTGGGTTGATTCCTACAGTTATTCTCCATCTCTTTTTTGGTGACATAAACTAGGATCTCCCCTGTGTCTTTGCCATTTTCATACACCTGAAAAAGAAGTAATTAAATTCAAGTTAATTGTGCTATAGAAACCAACAAGGTATTGGTAGCCACTGATTCTGTCCCTAACACTCTGGGTTACATTACTGAGAACTTTCAACATTTCTTTGAAGCTTCTTCTTCATTTTAATTAAAGGCCAGGAGGGATTGGGACAACATCAGTGGCTGTCACCAAAGACTGAAAAAGGTAATACGATCACTTGAAAATTTAGTTCACGTCTATGTATTGTATTAATATTTGGGCCAGTGAGCTTGGGAAAAAATATAGGTGATTCTTGCCTAAACGTTGGAAGGCTGGTTAATAACTTTGAGTAAAATTTTCAAAAGTGTGTAAATAATAGGAGCCTTAGTCCTAATGAAAATTAATTGGATTGAGGCTCCTAAATCACATAAGTAATTTTGAAAATTTTACCCTTTCTCTTTCAAATATTAAACTCCACAGCAAATATATTTTATAGGAAGAATTTCCCAGGCTGGTGCTTTAGTATAAAAACTGATGCAAAACACAGACAGTATGAAGTTCAGAGTTTTTTCTACACAAATTGTGTAACCAAGTATTTTATGAACATTGAAATCCAAAGCATTTCAGCTTGTCTTCTAAGAGAGAGTGCTCCTGTAAATGGGGTCAATTCTGGGTGGTTTCGGGTAGCACTGGAGAGATAAGCCCTGAATATAGACAGGTATTTAAATTTTCAGTGAGGAGATTCACCTGACATTCTACTGCTGTCTTCCCATGTTTTCAAGTGTTATGTATAGAATTTTAGGCATATTTACATTGGGCAAAGAACTGAGTATGGAAAAGACATTATATTTGATTCAGACATAGGTAAAATGCATGTCTAACAATCTGACAGTACATAATTTGGCTGTGTTAGAACTACAGCTAAGTGAATACTGCAAAAAACATTCTGCAAATATTCAAATGCTTTTTGTGTTCACACCCCCTTTGTACTTATTTTCTATGAATATCTGAGCAAATGAGTTTATTGACAGAAATGTTTATAAAGAGAGCACGTTTTAAATGAACCTTAGAAAATGTTGAAATCATATTCCAGAGTTCATGTAACAGAAACGTGATTTACCATTGCTTACACAAGTCCAATCAGGGTATGGTATACTGTATTACCTGCCTGTCCAGTCAAAACTAACAGTTTTGTGCACAATCTACAGACCATCAATTACTTGCAGAAATTATTTTGCAAATAAATTTTAAGAATGAAAAATGAGAGAATGGTAAGTAAGTTGCAAACAATTCTGTTTCACTGTGTTGAAGTTTTTTCACTATCTAAGGTAAATGCAGCTAATTATATAGTACAGCTTTACAGTATACAGTGGAATGCACACCTGTCCCTGAACAAATGCCATTGTGTTTTATGTTCAACAAGATAAAAACCAGACAATTCCTACAGGATGGATCCACTCAAGTAGAATGCCATACAACTTCTAACTGCTGGAGATACACAAAAGGACACTCCATTCTCGGAACAAGAAAAAAACAGGAGAAGAAGGAAACTGTATGCATAATATAAGGTATTTCCTTTTATCAAAAGACCCCTTCTGTGTTCCTAGAACATCTATGACAACACAGCAGTCATTTAACTTTGTCTCTAACTCTGATACACCCAGAAAGAAGGGTAGAAAATAGTGGAAACAATTGTATTGGAATAATATTATAACTCTAGTTTACAGGGAAATTATTTTGTAATCTAATTACAGAGGATTGAGGGTTATTTGGTGAGGGTTATTGTGTTTCATAAAATGTATTGCTATAGGTTCCATGCAGCTAGAGGCCTGTCTAAGACTGAACAGAAAGGAAAAAAAGAATGACAAACTCAAAAGATAAAAATAAATTTGATTTTTTGGTTGATTTCATGTTGATTATTTTCCTCTATGATACTGATAGCCCTTTATAGCTGCAATGCTGTCTCTTTCTCTCTCTCTTCACACGGTGCCAAAAGGGTAAATAGAGCATTTCAAATGTCTATATTCTGTGAGAACAGTGGGAGCGATTTTATTTTACATCACATTACAAATTATAGTTACCACCCTGTCACTACAGTTCCTCTCTTATATGTATGTTATACTTCACTAAAGTCACATACGTCCAAACTAATCTAATACTACTATACTGTATCCTAGGTTGGAACAAAGTTCTCAGTCACACACAAAGTAGTAAAATAAAATGGAGTTAATGATGAAAGCAACTATAAAAGTGAAATAATAAAAAAATAAAAAGTTAATGGCCATATCCACTTCAGTATATACTGTAGTCCATTATCACTGGCTTTTGCTAAGTTGAGGAATAGGAGGAATACGCTATAGATGTTGCTTTGTCTGACATTGTTAGAGTATCTGGAGATGCTAGACACCGTGGAATAAAGCATCCCTAAAGGACAGCATGATGTTAGTGCCAGCTGCCAACCTGAGAGAAATCAGTGATGCTATTGGACAACATACAAGGCCCATATTAGTTCCCACCACCACCACCACTAAACAAACTGTTAAAAGTTCTGTTAAATTTCACAGTAGGTGTTACACTAAGGCACTGAGCAATACCTATTTCTATATTAGAGCCAAAACAATTTCCCACTAAGGTGCAGAGAAGCGTAGAGAGATATAATAACTCAAAGATGGAGGGAATGAAAATGAAAGGGCTGAACCTGTGGTTTACTGTCTCTTTGTATAAGAAAAACCAGGACCTCCTTTAAAAAAAATCCTGGCTGCTTAAGGCTATTTAGGCCTGGTCTACACTAGGCTTTTATGTCGACTTTAGCGCCGTTATATCGAATTAACCCTGCACCCGTCCACACCAGGAAGCCATTTAGTTCGACATAAAGCTCTCTTTAAATCGATTTCTGTAATCCTCCCCAACGAGAGGAGTAGCGCTAAATTCGACATGGCCATATCGAATTAGGCTAGGTGTGGATGGAAATCGACGGTAATAGCTCCGGGAGCTATCCCACAGTGCACCACTCTGTTGACGCTCTGGACAGCAGTCCGAGCTCGGATGCTCTGACCAGCCACACCCCCGGGAAAATTTGAATTCATTTTCATTTTCCTGTCTGGGCAGTTTGAATCTCAGTTCCTCTTTGGACATCGAGGGGAGCTCAGCAGCAGTGGCAACGATGCAGAGCTCTCCAGCAGAGATGGCCGTGCAATCCAATAGAAAGAGGGCCCCAGCATGGACTGATCGGGAAGTCTTGGATCTCATCGCAGTGTGGGGCGATGAGTCCGTGCTTTCAGAGCTGCGCTCCAAAAGAAGGAATGCTAAGATCTACGAGAAGATCTCCAAAGCCATGGCAGAGAGAGGCTACAGCCGGGATGCAACGCAGTGCCGCGTGAAAATCAAGGAGCTGAGACAAGGCTACCAAAAAACCAAAGAGGCTAACGGACGCTCCGGATCCCAGCCCCACACATCCCGTTTCTACGAGGCACTGCATTCCATCCTGGGAGCGGCCGCCACCACTACCCCACCCCTGACCGTGGACTCCGAGGATGGGATCATGTCGGACATGACAGCGGACGGGGAAGATGAAGAAGGAGATGAGGAGGACGAGGCAGTCGACAGCGCTGGCACCGCTGATTTCCCCGACAGCCAGGAGCTCTTCATCACCCTTACCGAGATCCCCTACCAACCGTCCCCATCCCTTACCCCGGACACAGAATCAGGGGACGGATCAAGCAGTAAGTGCTGTAAACATGTAAACATTTATTTAAAACAGAACGGTAATATTTATACTATTAACAATGTATATTTATAAAAGTGCTGTAAACTAGTAAAAAAATAATCAGGTACAAAACAGGAATATTTACAAAGGTAACAAATGGGTTTTGCATGATTTCTCTGTCTTAGGCTCTTCTCAATTTAGTCCCAAGTATTTTAAAAAAATTTCACAATGTCCGTTACTACATGATTCCCAGGCCCAAGACGCTCCACTCCAAAGTCCCAGTGCACCTACGCGAAAATCCGGTCAATGTGGCCGGGGATCGACGAGAAATCCTCGTAGGAGAACTCCTCGTAGGTCTCGTGGAGGTAGAGCTCAAGCCTGTTGATCAGGTTCCGGGGTAGGGCGATCTTAGTGGGCCCTCCGTGGTAGCAGACATGTCCCCTCCATGCCACAATCAGGTACTCGGGGATCATGGCCCGACATAGCATGGCGGCATACGGCCCCGGTTTCTGCATGCTTTCCCGCAGCATGCGTTCTCTCTGGGTGTCCGGGATCCTCAGGAGGGTGATGTCGCTCATGACGCCCTGCTTTGAATTAGGGAGGGGACTGTTAGTATTGGGACTGCTTTACAGCCACGCGGTGGAGGGAGAGGGGCAGCATACAGGGATCTTTCCCTGGGACAGCCGCGAGGGGGTGGGACAGGGGCAGAGTTGATGCTGTCCTGATTGCTGGCAGCAGAGACTGGCATTGCTTTCAATGTGAAAGGAGGCCAGTGCTACTGCTGGAGTTTTAAGCAGCCACAAGTCTGCGGCTTACCATTATTGCCCGCTCCAGAAGTTCAGGTCTCCAGCCACAGTTCTCTGAACACTCCAAGACCTCCGCAAGTCCACAGGCACTGAAGGCGACGGCCGAAAATTCGACCTTGTCCTGAGTGCGCATGTGAGAGGTTCAGTGCATGGTCTTGTTCACAGAGAAAGACTAGGTTCTTTGTATACAATTTCATTTATCTGTCTCAGGAATTCACTCCCTTTTTAAAATTCACACAGACACATCTGCGACTGTCTCCCAACCCAGCCTGTCAGCACACTCCCAGAGGCTAGCGCAGATTAGGCGGAGGAAGAAGAAGACGCGTGAAGACATGTTCACAGAACTAATGGGCTGCTCCCGAGCCCAGGCAGCCCAGCAGACACAGTGGAGGGAGAACTTGTCACAAATGCACCGAGCAGTCATGGAACGGGAGGAGAGGTGGCGTCAGGAGGACCAACAGGCTACTGAAAAGCTGCTTGGACTAATGAGGGAGCAAACGGACACGCTCCGGCG